GTTAATTTCAGTCGCCGTATTTAATTTATATAAGTGAGAAATTCACATATACACAGTAGTGAGAAAACGTTGCTGTGGTACAGTAACATCACACAATACAATCTGACATCGCAATCAAATAATCTCGATAATAATAATGATAAGTTGTTAAAATTTAATAAATCCTAATGTCACGCATTTGTAAATTTTTTACTGACATTAAATAGCGAGAGTGTTTATAATGATGACTTTTGATTTCATAATGAGGAAGTATTTAATAAAAACGAAAGCACTAAAAAGGCACCTCCACTAGATGGCGACTCTAGCAAAAGTTGATTTTCGCAGGAAACGTATGGACCAAAGACAGTCCCGTTCCTATTAACTAACATATTAAAAAAGTGAAATTTAAAAAGTTCGAAGCTTAGATATCAATACAGATACGAAAAAGTACAAATAGAATACGAGTTGTTTATTGACTTTTGAAAACTAATTCCAATGAACGCTCGAAAATTAAAGGAATATGGTACAAAACATTACAGAGTGAACCTCCTCGTATACCATGGTTTATAGCTAGCAAGTTAGGTAGAAATAAAATTAAACTAATATCAAAAATTAGGTCGGGCCACATTCCATCTGGGAAATTTTCATTTATGATGAAAAAAGCAACTTCGCCTAATTGCGAAGTATGTAAAGAGATCGACGATGTTACTCATCTCCTGATGGAATGTGAACGGAACAAAACAGAAAGAGCAACTCCCTTTCTGTTTTGTTTTAAACAAATTTAAAGTTAATAAGCTGGACATAGGACTCATTCAGAGTATACTGAGTAATCCTAGTTCCGATATTACCCTGTGCCTATGTAGTTTGGTGGAGCAAAGCCTACACAAATCTACTCAGATAGAATTAGGAAACTAAATAGTATGTAAGTATTTTTTTTTGTATCGATGGGGCTGTCGTGCTTTAATGACAAAAGCCCCAAAAATATTAAAGATAATAAAAAAAAAGACTTCTAGTTAGATTTCGGGAACTATTTTTTTTTTAATACTTCCTCATTGGTATATGAATTTGATTTATTTATATATTTTCTATTTTATTACATAATACAAGCTTACAGATGAGGTTGACTTTAGTTTTCTGAATTGTCTTTACTTGTCTTTATCAAAATATGTTTTAAAATATTACAAACGAATATTTTTAAATAAAATCGTAAAATTTTATATATGCATAGTTTTATAAAGTCCCATTATCTATTCATGGAATGTTTTAGTCTGTGGAACTAACTAAGACGAACGTTCGAGATATAATTTATGTTAACTAATGTAAACTGTAATGATTGTTAATTAGAATAATATTTTAAACTTTGTTTATATTTAACTAGATGTTTTCTCGCGACTTCGCCGCATAAATTATTTTATAGCCTGTCACCTGCGTATGATGTAGCTTCTCGTAGGTGAAAGAATATTGAAAATTGACCCAATGTGTATTAGGGGTCAAAGTATGAAATTGCCGATTTAATTATAGTATTAACTTTATATCTAAGATGAAAAAAATCTTTATAAATAGTCATGGTAACCGATATCTGAATATGCTCGGTAATTTTTAAGAATACGGCCATTACTAAATTGCCTCTGTGAGATGTATAGTCAACAACACGTAAGGTTTGCACAAATGTATCAAATATTAAATCTTAATGCTTTAATGGGAGAGTTTTAAATCAACTGGAGAAAGATATATTGTAATAACCTGATATGTGGCTGTGTGTATTTCGTTGCTTCAGATTTACACAATACATGGGCTTGGGCTATTTAATTTGGGATGTGAGCAATACCGATGACGTTGTTTCTTATTGATTTATTTATGATGTTTATTTTATAAAAAAAAGACATAACATTATCGAGTGTCGGGTACCTGAGACGGTATTTAAAGCCGTAATTTCTCGCTAACCGAGCGACTGCACTGACCAATTCTAATATAATTTATACAACAAAATTAATTAAAATGCTTCATTGAAACCATGCTGTGAACCCAAAAAAATAAACAGTTTATTCTAAGAAGTCAGAAATAAAATATCTTTTTTATTTATTTATTGAGATTTTAAAGTTCTTTCATTTGGTAATATTAATAAAGGCCTGACATAAAACATTTCACAACTAGACCTTTAGGTACGAATATAAAAAAAAAAAACAAACACAAGGCTGACAAAAAGGAATCAAAAAGTAAAACACTGTTTTTATTACGGCGGATTTGTAGGTAATTCACGCACACAGTTCTAACTAGGTAAATAAAATTACCATCGATATTGGGAACCTCTTTGATTATAACTAAATTTTATAAAAGAGATATAAGTTATTTTCTCGTAACTTCACCCCCAAAAAAATATAGCATGTGTCACCCGCGTATGATGTAGCTTCCGATAAGTTATAGAATTTGCAAATTGGTGGATTACTTTTAAGTATATTTTATGCAAACAAAGAAACAAAACTTTTCTCTTTATGGTATTAGTATAGATCAATATAGAATTGTGTAATACAATAATTGAAAAAAGAACTAATTTTTAAATATAACCTATTTAACAATATTTCTGTTTACATTGTAAACTCCATTAACATGATTAAAAGTACAAATTACCTGCAACAGATGGTGGAAGTAAAACTCGTTTGAATGTTCTATTATAATGACGTCAGTATTGTGTGTTTACGCTTTGTTTTTCACATTATATAAACAATAATTGTTGTTATATTTAACAAAAATAACCTGTGGAAATTATCATTAGATTTTCCATTTTATAATAATAATAATAGATATTTATAGTTATTGAAACAATATACAAATTATAACTTAACTGAATTTCTCTAATCTTGAGAGTTAGAACACGATTTAACATACAAGGCATATTAAATTAATTGGTACTACGGGAAACACGTTATAGTCATGAGCCTGTCTCGATCACATTATTAGGTGCTGATGCACCGAACATTTATATAGTTTAAAATTTTATGGTTCACTTAATCTTTAGATATATTTTTAAATTTCAAGATATATTTCTCATATAAATATAAGTGCTATAAGGTCGTATAATTTATATAATTATCGAAGATATATTTGTCTGAACAAAGATGAAGTTATTTAGTTTATTACTTCCAAATACAGTTTTATATGTTTTAAACAAAAGAATTGCAGTTAAAGCCATTTAATATCCATATAGGTAATCTGATATATCTGCAAAAGAACTTCAATCAGTGTTGATAATTGATACTCACATGATTTTAAAAGAAGCTGATGTCAAAATGGAAGCCGGTTCTGCAAACTACTGCCCTTTAGTTAACCCACATATTAATTTTCGGTTATTGTTTTCAGAAAACCTTATGGATGTGGCGAAAGATGGAGTAACAAGACTTTTTGGGAACTCTCGAATTCATAATAAACATTGTGTCATTCAATTTCATATCATGTCTTTCAAAACTTATATGTGCTTTCACGGTGTCTGGTTAAATCTAAGATGTCAGATGCTGAAGATGGCGAGTATTATTATGTTTATTAACAGCTAGGCGTAAAGATACAACGCTATCCTTATCTATCTCTTCGTGTGCATCTATAAGACAAGTATTGAGAATGGAGATTAGTCTTTTATTAATTTTTCGCAATCTATTACTGCCTATAGCTCTCGGTAAAAAAGTGATTCGTATATTTATCAATAATCTCTATGAGAAAAAAAATAAAAAATATATATATATACTAAGATAATCAAGTCAAGGGGATAAAGAGGGGTAACTTTAAGTTTTTTTCGTATCGAGAAATTGTATACATTCGCGTTTAGATTATGACTAAACGCTTCATGTTTCTTTTATAATTTTAATTATGCCTTATTAAGATATAATATTTTAGTACAAAACCAAACGAAACATAATATTGATATTTAATATATTTTCATAATAATGATATAATACGTAATATATATGTGCCAATCTTGGTTTCGATTAAATTTAGACTATTTATTTGTGTACCCAATAACTTATCTTCCCAGTAAAAACTTGTATATAAAACTCAGCATAATTAGACACGTAATCGAAATTTTGTTTTAAAAAATAAATAAAACGAGTAATGAAGGCATTAACAATAAATTAATCTGTTATATTTGTGTATAACAAAGAAGTTATTTTTAAATCTTAGTAGTCATGTACCAGATTGGTCATGATCTCTATTAAATCTGATAAATATAACCGTATTATACCTTTAATTTTTCCGTATACAAGTTTTAAATTATTAATGACAGAAGTAACTTAATAAATGCGATCACAAAAGATCATGCCAAAAATAGCACGCGAGATTGCAGCAGCTGTATCACAATAATAACGCACTTATACGAGTTATAATATATTATATAGGTTCCAAAAATGATAACAATCTATGATTATAGATTAACCCTATCGTGATGAAGAAGTTTGGTTTTAATTGGCTATGATAATATTTTTAACGAATTACCGCGTGAATTATGAGTATATAACAAAAAGTACAAATAACTATTATATTGAAATGTAAAGTTTAAACAGATAATTAGAGTCACATTTTTTTTTTTGTTTCAGTTATGATGTAAATTACTCCCTGTAGTTGACTTTTGTACTTTTGCAAACTAAAACAATGATGTACCATCTTCGATTTGTCGAGTACATATTCTCCATGGAATAGAAATTCTTGTAGATTTTCTCAATCCATGAATATTAGTAGGAGATCGTTGACTACACTAACACAAGTTAGAAATTACTAATATATAATGATTTCTTATATTTTTACGCGCACTATCCATAAATGAAACAACTTCCTAACAGCGATTGAAGTGTTTATTAATAAATAAATATTTTATAACGCACAATAATAACCGTCTGTCTGTCAATTGGTGTGAAATTAATCATAGTAATATCTAAGATTATATAACCATCCCTCACTTGAGTTATTCATGCGTCCAGTATGACAATCGCAATTATCAAAGATTATACACAATTAACACAGACAATAAAACTTACCGTTCATTTTGAAATCTATAACACTGAACTTAATAACACCGATTCAACTCAAAGTCAATGTAGCAATCACAGATCAAAGACCACAGCAACCGAATAAAAACACTTCGAAATTCAATTTTATTTTCTTTAAAAAAAAAAGAATCATTCAAATTAGGAAAGTCATCGGCAGACTGGAGGCTGCGCAGAGGCAGGCGCGCGCTCCGTAAAGCGAGAACAAAATGCAAGAAACAATGCGTACGCACGGTGTAATAAACACCGCGCAGACGCAGTTCAGTTGCCGACGATAAAAAAAAATATATGGTGTGCGAACAGTACGTGATGCACGAGCCATCTCATTTGATAGCAACCAAATATGTAGCAATAGGATTAGATAAGAGATTATTGTAGTTAATTGATTGGTACTTGTTACCCGACTGCGCGACGCAAAGGAGGGTAATGTGTTTGTATGATTGTTACTATGTGACGTTCTAGAGACCAAATGCGTAGGCCGATTTTGATGATTCTTACGTCAATCGATTCGTCTTAACCTTGCGAGTATCACTAAAGACATGACAGTAATCAAAATTCACCACAGCGACAACAGGACGCCAAATCTTCAAAATGAAAAAAAAAGTCTACAAACTATATCAAGTGGGGTGTCGTTGAATAGGTATTTTAAAATCATTTTTAGGTTCCTTTTATAATTTTTCATTTTAAATAATAGTTTAGGATATATAACGATTTAAAGTTGTTTAACAAAACAATCATTCACGCAAATTTTCTTACTTATTGATTTAAGTTTTTATTTAACGTATACTTAAACAATATACAAACAAAAAACTGTGAATTAGCATGAAGAACAAATAATTTTGGTAAAAAAATAAAGCATATGTAGCTTTGAGCAGAGTTAGGTCTCTAGAGGGACTAATCATCAGTAGTTTACAAGTTACATAATAATCATAATAATATTAACTCCCTCAATGAAATGACTAGATTGCGAAATTTACTATCCTATAAAGAAGTTAACGAATTGCAACTAAAACGTATAAAATAAAGATAAATAATTTAAAGAAAAACAAAAAACCGACTGCGTAAAAACGAATTTTAAAAAATACATGAAAAAAAAACTAAAAAGAAAGAGACAAGCCCAGTAGTTTAGAATTCTCTTAAGAAATACTATAATAGAACGACTTACAGTCGGGGCCCCTTGTTTTAATGGGCCCCGGGTTTTTTGTTTTTCTGTAAATATTATATAGTTTTTATATGATGTCAATGTTTGATTTTGCGGGTCGCCAATCAGCCTTAAACTCAGTGGTTCGTTACCTAGGGGTTACCCGTGCGGGGTTTAATCAGCTATTCGGTGTGGGTGACAAAGGACCTTATACCTGGTCGGCCAATCAGTTTTCCTGAAAAAGGTAATAGATTTGGAATTACATCTTTAATAAATCATGAAAAAATATTAATTACGTAGAGCACGGGCACAATAAAACATTTAGAAAATATGTTATCAATGTATACAAAAAGTAAAGTTTTCTAAATGTAAAAAATAATAATTTGCCTATGGCAACTATGTTTAATAGATAATTTCAACATTAATGTGACTTTCACAATAGTAAATAAACAATTTTAGTATTATATTGTTTTAAGCTTATGGTAACTTACATTAGAATTATAGTTTTTCGCGGGATTGCTACCATGTACCTTGTTTTTGTTGATTTCCCGATATTTCGGCGCTTTTACAAACGCCTTGATTACGGGGTCTACCGTGCAGCAATCCCGCGATGATAGATACATGGTAGCAATCCCGCGAAAAACTATGATTCTAATTTAATATATTTTTTTAATTCAGCTTACGCAGGAGATTTTGCTGCATGCGCAATATTTATACCCAAGGTCATTAAAGTTTGCGGTCGACTTAATATGGCATCGTTTGTTATGACTGCGTCATGTTGCGAGGATAGACAATGTAAATTAAAGTAGCAGGTAAAAGCACGTTAAATATTTTTGCACTGATATGTTATAGAGGAGCTCGATAACGCAGTCGGTCTGCGATACGGCAGTTAAGCAACTTTCGACCAAAAATTTATCATATCGAACTCTTCCGTGCTTTGGACGGCACGTTCAGGCTTCAGCCGTTGACCCCACTACATCTGCAGTTGTTAACACCCACCAATCCGTATTAGGCTGGCGTGGTGGGTCATGCATGGCCCGTTCTACCGATTCGATTTGAGTCTATTCCATCCAAAGCGAAGGTATGAGCACCAGAAGTGGACTATCCGCAATATAGATCTAACGTTAAAGAGGTTAGTAACTGTTAACGAATAATTATCTAATAGGAGAAGGTCAATAAAATATCAACAAGTATAAGAAGCTCGTGACGAGTTTACGGATTTGCTTGGTTTGGTTTAAAGTGTATCGAAATTCACAATAAAGACTAAAGATTTAATATTTTATTTGCTCCGTAACTCCAGGACCGATGCAAAATTCTATTATTGTCATTTTACTATTATACGACATACATATTCGTTGTTAAATACATTTCTATGTATTTTACAAATTATCCATTTGAACTAACAGTCATAGTGATTATTTTAAGATTTGATGACTTGAAAATTACATTTATATAATGTCTAGACTTCTTGTAATTGTACAAACAATATTCAATTTGTTCAGACCCGTTTTGACGTCATCTGGTGTCTTACGTACTTTATGTAAGTTTTAACTAACATCATTTCCAAGTTATTGACAAATAAATTAATTCAGAGAATTGTGACCTTAAGTATTTGGTCAACACTTAGTTTATTCTAGAGTGTATATTTTTTTTAAACAATCTTCTGGCAAAGGAACCTACGCGTATGTCAATTAAAACTATTATAAAGAATTTGTTTTCTTTTGCATGCGGTTTAGGTTTTTTGCCTATATGTTTGGAGTAGTAGATAATAATTTTCTGAGTAGATTAGGGAGAATTGACTGCGACCCACCATGCGGCCCCAGTGCGGATTGGTGCTCTCAACGATTGGAGAAGCAGCCTGGATCATTTCATCAACTTGCCGTTCAACTGGCTCGATGAGATACAATTTTGGTCACCCATCCTCTGGCCGGCCATTGTGAAAGATGCTTAATGGTTTCTATTTCCGGTCTCCGGTCTGTCTTGGGTGTTGTGGTGATTTCGTTGTTTCAGATGCTTCATAACACTATTGCTTTAGCCTGTAATCTGAGATGTGTATGTGATGTCTTGTGTTTGATTAAACTTAAAGTTATTTTAAAGTTAAAAATAAATTCAGATTTAATACAAATACAAAACATACAGTTATTATTTGCATTTTAAGTGCTGTGATGGGATTGTTTATGTTCTAGCCGTATACGGACATTTCTTGCGATTCGTTGACTTAATTATGACCTCATAAGAGGGTATATTTCTGTTTTTGTCTAGATAAAGTTGCAAATATTCGTTCTTATAAAATTTATTGGTATTATTTGAATCCTTTTTCATTTTATATCAACATTACAAGCACATTTGTACATATAAAATTTCATTAATTCAGAAATAAAAAATAGAACCGATTACAAACTGCAAAATATCGAGAAAAAAAAGTTCTTTTATTAATAAAAAAAAAACAGCTATTGAAGTCATAAAGTTTTTTGAAGCCCCACGTTTTCAATAGAAATTTCTTGGTTAATACAACCATTTAAATATTATTTTTCACATTTTACAACTTTTAATTCGATTCTATTAAAAAAAGAACAATATTTGAACCTGAAATATTTGAACGGAAGTTGGTTAAAATACTAATTTCCAAAAGGAGTTTCCTCTTGAGGAAGAGGCTCCTGAGAGTAGCAAAAAACATATATAATCAAGAATTAACACATACTTATGCATAAACGTCAAACTGAGAACCTACTGTTTACCCGGCTGCGCGACGCAAAGGAGGATAATGTGTTTATCAGTCTATGTTTGTTTGTTTCTTTGTGTCGTTCTAGAGACCAAATGCGTAGGCCGATTTTGATGATTCTTACGTCAATCGATTCATTTTAACCGTGCTAGTGTTACTAAAGACATAACAGTAATCAAAATTCACCACAGCGACAACAGGACGCCATAGCGTCAAAATGAAAAAAAAAGTCGAAGAACCATATCAAGTGGGGTGTCGTTGAATAGGTAATTTAAAATCATCCTTAGGTTCCTTTTATCATTTTTCATTTTAAATAAAAGTTTAGGATATATCATGATTTAAAGTTGTTTAACAAAACAATCATTCTCGCCAATTTTCTTATGTATTGATTTAAGTTTTTATTTAAAGTATAAACGATATACAAACAAAAAAAAAACTGTGAATTAGCATGAAGAACAAATATTTTTCGTAAAAAAATAAAGCATTCGTAGCTTTGAGCAGAGTTAGGTCTCTAGAGGGACTAATCATCAGTAGTTAAGACCACTGTAAGTTACTTAATAATTCCCACGATATTTACTCCCTCAATGAAATGACTAGATTGCAAAATTTACCATCCTATAACGAAGTCAAAGAATCGTAACTAAAAAGTATAAAATAAAAATAAATACTTTCAAGAAAAACAAAAAACCCGACTGCGTAAAAACGAATTTTAATCAAATCTTCCCAATGGGCCCCGACTGTGAGTCGTTCTGTTCTGTATTACTTAACAGAATTCTAAACTACTGGGCTTGTTTCTTTCTTTTTAGTTTTTATTAAAGTTAATTGTTTCATGTATTTTTAAAATTCGTTTTTACGCAGTCGGGTTTTTTGTTTTTCTTGAAAGTATTTATTTTTTTCAGTTATAATTAAACTGAGACTCGACGTCCCAACTTGAAAATCCAAAAGCATATTCACTTCGACGCCACTATTATCAGATTGTTTCGCATCGTCGAAAGAATGTTCACCCGAACCAGTAACGTTAAGTTTCCAAATCATATTGCAACATAACACACAACTTTTTGCTCCCCAAATTACATCGCGCGCATATATCTTTGTAAATTGATACCTGTTTCTGATATATTCACGTATACAATAGGTACTTCGTGTTTTATCAAATCGTAAAGGTCTGGAAAATGTAATGAGTTTTCAAAATTCACGCATAAGCTAGCTAGCTGTTTTCCCGCGGCTTCGTCAGCATTAATTATAGGCTATAGCAACCGCCAATTATTTATGTTCCTGTGAAAAAATACGTACAGGCGCATGTCACGCTACACACCACCACTGTAAGCAGACCTCTGGTAGTAGGGAAAT